TAAGGACGATTGAATGACGAATATCTTCGGATGTTACGTTCGACAAGGTGTCAAGATGATTAAATGATCGAATTCTTCGACAATATCAACCCGATAGACGTGATTAATGATTTATATGTACACTCCACGCGCTTTTTGATATTACACATCTTAAACCTATCGATCGCCTGATCATAGCTGTTAGAAATTTCCTGATATGTGTATGTGTGTCTATGTGTGTGATACGATGACTTTTATTGCCTTGACAAATTCTCATCAACTAAATATGCGACGTACGTATTATTTCATCTGTGACACGAACAATTACTCTTTTTTCAAATTAATTATAAGAAAGAACATTTCGTTATTATAACATACTGAATTTTTGCTAAACATAAATTCATGAAAAAAATAGGAATAAATATATTTACTATAAGTCGAGTATATTTTAATTCATTTTTATTATAGAAGTTTGTAAGTTTTCAAATCTTGCATGTGAAAACTGTAAAATTAGAAATTCTTAATATAATTAATAATTTTAATTAAGACTATATATTTGAAATAATTAAAAAAATATGAATATTAAAAATTTAGAGAATATTAAAGAAACTTGAATTTATAGCATTAGAAATAAATTTGATATGATTTCAACAAAATGATTTAAAATAGTTTAATTGTATTCTTGCTACTATTTTCTCTTTTTAATTTTTTGTTATGTTATTTTGATTGCAAAATTCGAAAGTTTTTGTAAATTGATATTATTTTAGGACAAGCTAAGTTTTCATTGTTTTCTGTGATAAACCTTGAATCTCAAATTTTATCGAGATATGCACGTATTATGTAAAAGACTCGTAGATATTGGAAGACATGTAATAAAATCGTCGCAGTTTTAATTGAGCTTGGAGAATAGCTACGTGTGATATCGTTCTCATCATACTTTTTCTCAGCGCCTCGAAATACCTGAATCAGACCCGACAGGAAGTGCTCGCGGGATGGACATCGAGTGGCCTCTCTTGTCCCGCCTAAGTCAACAAGCAGTAGTCTTATCCACTCGGCATTTTACAGTCGCGAGGTTACGAGCGTGAACGCGAGTACGCAGGTGCATGCAGGTGAACACCTCGTTGGCGGAGATGCGTGCACTATGCTGCCAGTACCACATACAATTCGCGCGTCACTTGCGAATCCCTTCGCAATATAACACGTGACTACTGTTGAGGAGACCCTGCAGAGGAATCGAAATGCGGAAATACGAATAGCGACTAGTAGTTGAAATCTTCGCTAGGCGTAGCTTCACTCATGGCGTGTCGCGAAGAGGGAATCCCGCGCTAACGATAATTCACAGCCCGCCTCGCGTCAGGCGTCATTAAATGCGTAATGATAATAATTGTAATCGCCGAGCGAATCATTGCATTATTTAATATCGCGTATAACAGGGTGCCGGTGCCGTAATAGCGCGGCGAATTAAAGGGTCGGCTAAATCCCCGAAATCGCGAGACGAGAATAAAAGTGCTCATTAAATTAAAAGCAGCCACCCGCATTGTGCAATTTATTATTGGGCCAAAGCACGAGCGTTGGATTATATCGAATTTGGGAATGGTGCATTTTACGAGAAAAAGGAAGATTGTTGTATACATTCAGAAATACAATCGCAATTAATTTGCAAATTGCAATAACACTGGTCGACAAAATTTCACTTTTCTTATTTTAAATTAATGTGATCGAGTGTTTCTTAAAATATTTTTTTGTGCTGATTTCAATTCCATTTGCTAAATTTATGAGGACAGGATTTTTAAATAATACATATTAAAAAATTCCTCTACTTATCTCTTCTTACTTAGATCCTATAAATAAATTATTCGGTGAGTAGTTTGAATTTAACATGATTTTCTACATAAAAGACTGATCCCATACAACGAGCAGTTGTTAGCAAAATGTATAAATTTTTAAAAAGAGATATCGGTTTCAAAAAAAACTGTAACTTATGAAATAAATTCTGAATCTTATTTTCCGAATTAACGCACACATTAAAAAGTATATAAAAATTAACTAAAATTATTCATTTAACAAAATCATTGTCGATCAGTGTAATTGAAGCTGTACATCTTCGACAACGAAGAAATATTTTGAAATAGTTTAGTTAGAGATCACGCCGTCTTTTCAAGGATCATGTCAAGTGATTCATAAATTCGGTACTAATTATCTCGCGACGGCAAACATGAATAGTCTGTCTTTTCACTGGATATATGCGAAAACATGCTCGCAATATGTACGAAGTGCTATTTAAGTGCTCTAGCACAGGGAAGGCCATTTTGTTCGCGAGAATATTGACAGAGATCTCGTGTCGGGGCTTGCGAGCTGCAAACATGATTTTGCGAACTTGCACGTTTCGCGTTGCACAATTTATGTTGCCAGACATACATTACGTTCTAGTCTAACTTAGAGAAGTATCTTTTGCAAATACTCGCGAAGCTACGGAGGCCATGCATAAATTAAACAGGAATAATACCACAGCGGACGTTGCTGTCTAGTATAGTTTTCTGAAATCCAAAGCATTCGATGTATAATACGAAGTGGCATACTTGGAAAAATCAATACATTACAATTTTGAAGCAATATTTAGATAAGATCGAAATATTTGTATTCTCCGTAAGGCACAAAGTGCCATACGCGTTTGATGATCGTAAGATTGCTAATAATAGCACATCGATAAAGAATGCGTTAATATACTCGCGAAGGAGGTCGCGTTCTAAAACAGACGAAAACTTTCCTTTAAGACAAATCTCTACAGACAGGTCGTGTCGCGAAAACGTAAATTCCGGCCATGATCTCTCCTCGAAGTCTGCGGCACCTCGAAAATTCTCGCAGCGGCACGGATATTCATAAATTATCAGGATCCGCGAGGGAATATTACGCACCGACGAGAAACCATCTCGATTTCGAAGAGTATAACGTAATTAGCAATAAAACTTCCGCGTACGCATTTCCTGGTACATCGCTCGCGCGGTTGTTTCGCTGGCCGTCTCCTGCGGAGTCTTTTTTTTTTCCGCGCACGGAACGGAGCTCCGGCTGACCCGGTCAAACGACCTTAGGAGGAGAAACCTTACGATCGATATACTCGCGTGTTTATTGCTGAACTTTTAAGAAAATTTATTGTCAGGCGTTTTCGACGTCCTCGGTTCTGGACGGGGGAATCGCATCATTCTTCCCGAGGCGTCGCGTCGCGTCGGCGTGAAACTATCGGGAAAACGTGTTTTGCGTAGTATATCAAGACGGACAAATTTATTGCTAGATAAATAACATCGCAGATACGATGATACGCGTCTACGCGCGCGCGTGTATAAATATTATAACGCGCGCGTACGATAGCTGCGCGGCGTGGAATGTGAAAGACGCGCGAGACGAAAGTAATCGAATACCATCTCGCGTTAAGAACGTGACGGAGGATCGGGGGATCGATGAGCGTGGAGGGATATTTAATGAACGGCGATCAAGGTATTACACACATTTAAGTATACAATATTCTTTATTTCATTTCGTACTCTTCTCTCGACTCGGACACTCAAACGGTGCCCATGCCTCGCGCGTATAGTCTGATCGTGGCTACCGCATCTCCCATATATTCTTCTCTTCCTTCCTTCCTTTCTTTCTTTTTTTTTTGTACTTAAACGCAACTGCGGATCCTACTGCGGACGATCGGCACGATCAGAGCTTTTCGGAACGGTTCCTCGCGCTTGGATTCGATATCATCCCTGTTCGTCCGACAAGATTCTCGAAAAATATACATAAGTTACGTACTAAGAGCACTTGGAATTCGCAGAATCACAATATATCCGACGCCCGGATCATCGTCGTCCGATCTCTTGCATCGCCGTCGATTTCATTTTTTTAATAAATCGACGCGAGTGCACGGATCGAAGTGAGCAGAAATCCGAGCATCCGAACACTGCCGAACGATTCGTCGGCGCAATAGTACGCGCGAAGCACTCACTGGCCATCCCGCCGTGCGTTGTCGCCACGCTACGGCAAACGGTTACATATCGTTTAACGTTAAACTATCACCGGCGGTATCTTTTACCGCCGTATTTTTTAAGGCACCGCTTCAAGCTGGTGCTACGATATGCGCGATTCGTGATTCGTGATTCGCGGTTCATGATCCGTAGTGGAAATTCGTCGGTTCGCGAATTGATGTGAACCCTGCCACACGATTCGCGATTCGTAGTCTCGTTCGTTCGCATAGCGCAGCTCTATACACGAACGATCCACGAATGAATTGATCCGATAGTGTTTCACGCCTCTTATAGCTTCGTCGATATACCGCTTCGCGCTGGCGAATCAGCGTGAATGATGAATTAGCGACGAATAACGAACGCGACGAATCTACCTGTCCACAATATGCACGAGACTCAATAACGAATAGCCGGAATCGCGAGTCGCGCATAGTCTGATGCCAGCTTCATAAGGCACGATACGTCCGTCGTACGTTTCTCCGACGAAAGAGAATGTATCGCGAGTCGATATATTCTCGGTCGCTTCGTCAATGTGCACCTGCCGTCGGGGTACGACCGGGCAAAAGAGACTTGTATGTCGACTGTCGGCTAATACCGAGCGGCTTGAGCAATTTTCATCGATCGGACGATCGCCGATCGTAAAGCCGTTTATGCCGGCTGGCTACGCGCGGCACTTCTTCTTCTTCGTCTTCTTCGTCTTCGTCTTCTTCTTCTTCTTCTTCGGCGTAGGCCGACCGCGCTCTCTCCGCTTCCTCCTGCTTTTCCCTCTCGTGTCGTTCCAACGTAATCGTATTCGGCTACTCCTCTTTCCCCCTGAGTCGCCTTCTCGTTTCTTGCGCCAAGGCACCTTTGACACTCGGCCGTGTGCTTCTCACTCGCCGCGTTATTACGATGTAACTGTACCTTCTTTCACCCTCTCTCCGCATCTCGTATGATTCGCGTGTTCTTCTCCATTCTCTTCTTCACTTTTCTCTTTGCCTCCTTCTTTTTCGTCATTTTTCCATCCATTCGTTTTTTTCCCTTCGATCGTTCGTTTCTTTCCTCCTGCTATGGGAGAGCCTTCGATCGTTAGCTTCTATTTCAACAAATTACTCGGCGACCTTGCCCCTATTATCCACTGGGATAATTGAATTTGGGGGTGACACCGATGACGATCCTTTCTCGATCGGATTCAGTAATCAGTTCTTGTTGAGCACTTAGTGAGCACCGTTTGGTATCCGAGGTCATGTCTTTCGGGTGAGATCCAAGGGCGGTCCGGTGTCCTGCAGAAGCTCATTTTCCTCGCTGTTGCTCGACTTCTCCTCTTCCTCCTCCATACTGCCAGCATCCACCTCCTGTCCATCTGTCCGTGTGTCCTTCATACTGAGATCCATTGGCTCATCTTGCTCTGGCCCGAGAGATCGTAAGAATGTCAGATTCTTATCATATGCGACCTCTATCGAACCTGCTCTAGGACATCGATCTCGTTCGGCGGTCTCGCGATCGATCTCGCGGCATTCTCGATTCTCTTCACTTCTCTTCGTTGGCGATGGAGTCGATCGCGGACTGATGCTCTCGCTGGACGAGCTCGATAAACTGGTCGCCATCTGCGGTGGACCTACTTGATTCACATAAGGTACAATAAAACGTTGCTGAAACGGAAAGAATGGCGTGTTCAGCAACTGCATGTGCGTGAGCGCTGGATGAAACAACGGTGGACCCCGCCACATAGGGAACCTCGAAACTTCAGGCCTGAGCATCTCGTGCGGTGCCCTCGGGAGATCGGTAGGCCTCAGGATCGCTTCCTGGCTGGTTCTTGGCGGGATGTCGGGTGACCTTAGTTGCACCGGAAGATCCGGTGGCCTGAGCGCACCATCCTCTCTCTTGGGCAATCGATCAGGATGGTGATGGTGGTGCAGGTGATGATGGTAACTGTTCGCCGTAGTGGTCGCCGTAGTGACAATGCCGACGATGCTACTGGCGCTAGTATTACTGGCGTTCTCGGTATTATTATTATTATTGTTATTCGCGGCGTCTAACGAGCCGAACGCTTTCTCATACGCGGACTTGGGATCTTTGATCAAGCGATTTTGCGCTTGCTGAGACTGTTCTTGCAGCAGGCAATGTATCTTGAACCAATTGGAGCGCCGACCATAGCGCGAGCCGGACTTGGACATGCCCACCATTAGGCACTTCCGCAAACGACATGCCTTGCAGGCGGTACGATTCTTCTTGTTGATCACGCAGACGCCGCCGTTCTTGCATTCGGAAATGCTACCCAGATTGTTGTAGGTGCGCCCGAAGAAGGACTGTACAACAGAAAGCGAAATGGACGCGCATTGGTCAGTCGTAATCGATTAACGATTTGCGCTTTCGCTTTATTAGAGACCAGACATATTGAGAAACACGCGTTGAAATAAATGTTTAGCTATCTATTAGTAAAGCCAGATTCTTAGCAGTCGCGAAAATCTACAAATTTTGCCTAAAAATCGCGCGTACTCGCAAAATATAATTTAACCTTTGCACAACGGCACACAGATCCGGTCCGACTAATAATGCGTAACAATTCTTAATTTGATAATGAATTACACTAATTTATAAAGTTCTTTGCAGAAGCATATAAATTTCTAGGATAATTTTCGACGCTGAGTCTGATCTGCTCGAAATATTTCCATCAGGTCCGGTTTTTTAAATATAAGAAAAGACAAATAGTAATAATGTAATCTTCTTACGGACTCTCCCATATTCAACAACAAAAAATCCAAAAAAACGGGGCGAATGAGAGTCAACGTGATAATTAATACGCAATCTTCAATCCAGAAAATAGAATCTTTATTCCAAAAAATAATAGTACATTTTAGTTCACTTTGAAACCATCCTCAGCAATACAAATTCAAAATATCAATTCCTTCATGTCCAAGAAAAAATCACCATCAGATTAACAGATTTGATGTTGTAATCTATTCGAAACATTAAAATTATCTTATAAATATTTCTATTGAACAAGTTTCAAATTAACAATAAAACTGGTGACTCATCCCAAGACATAAAAAGAATTCGTCTCAACATTGGATCAACTAATTACCATTAATATTCACTAAAGAGTATCAAATTAAAAAACGCATGTTGATCGCAGCTTGAACGAAACATGACTTATTAGTGTGTTACATACATTTAATAAGAAAGACATGTCAACAACGAAAATAAAAAGAAAAAAGGATAATGTTAATACATAAACAAAAATTTGTATAATCGACAACATATAACTATTTAATGTCTTTTAATAATTGTATATAAGTTTGATGTACACTCTCTGTATCTGAGCATAAATTTAGACTATTTTGTTGCATGAGTATATGAAGGCACTTAGATATTAAACGTTTATTAAGAAAACGCTGTTCATCTAAAATCGCAATTTTCATTGTTGACCTGACATGTCTTTCTTGTTATATTAAATATATTAGTCTCTCTCTCTCTCTCTCATGTTTCGTTCGAGCTGCGATCAACATACGTTTTTTAATTTGATACTCTTTAGTGAATATTAATTGTAATTGGTTGATCCAATGTCGAAACGAATTCCTTCTATGTCTTGGGGTGAGTAACCAATTTTTAATGTTAATTTGAAACTTGTTGTATAATAGAAATATTTATAAGATAATTTTAATGTTTCGAATAGATTACAACATCAAATTTGTTAATCTGATAGTGATTTGTTCTTGAACATGAAGGGATTGATATTTGAATTTGTATTGCTGAGGATGGTTCCAAAGTGAACTGAAACGTACTACTATTTTTTGGAATAAAGATTCTATTTTCTGGATTGAAGATTTAAGATTGCGTATTAATTACCACATTGACTTTCATTCGCTTTATTTGTTTGGATTTTTTGTTGATAAAAAAAGACATTTTTTCCAATATACTCTCTAAAATTTTTAGAGTGCAGATTCGTACTCTTCTAGAGCGAAATCTCGCTTTTAAAGATTGAAAACTGAGCCACTATTTTTCAAAACTGATTCAATTTTTAGTCTTTAGAATGAGATTCCACTCCAAAAAATTTAGAGAATACATATAGAAAAATTTTTTATTGAAATTAGAAAACAAATCACTCTCAACAAGAAGTGTTGAGAGTTTAAATTTTGTTTTTTACATGACTAGATTGGTTTCATGTATAAGAAACCAATAATAGTCACTTAGCATGTTCCCATTCCAATATCTCTGATAATAAAAAACTCCAACACCAGGGCGAATGAGAGTCAGCGTGGTAATTAATACGCGCAATCTTAATTCTTTATTCTAAAATTAGTACGTTTCAGTTCACTTTGAAACCATCTTCAGCCAAACAAATTTAAAATATCAATCCCTTCATGTCAAGGAAAAATCACCAGATTAGCAGATTTGATGTTATAATCTATTCAAAGCATTAAAATTATCTTATAAATATTTCTATTGAACAAGTTTTAAATTAACAATAAAACTGGTGACTCACCCCAAGACATAGAAAGAATTCGTCTCAGCATTGAATCAACTAATTACCATTAATATTCACTAAAAAGTTAAAAAACGCATGTTGATCGCAGCTCGAACGGAACATGACTAATACACTTAATATAATCGGAAAGACATGTCACTAAAGATTTTCTAAAGCGAAGTCCTAATATCATCTTAACAAAGGCAGATAAAATAAATATCACAGTTGCATTAAATAAGAATGATTACAAGTCTAAAATCTTGCAGATGCTTGAGGACAAAGAAATCTACGTAAAATTAAAGAAAGATCCGATTAATAAATTAACTAATGATGTCCGAGATTTGTTAATAAGATGGAAAAAGAAATTTTATTAATGATTTATTGAAATTGTATAAAAAATTATCTTGTAGTGAAGGTGGTCTCTCTCGAGAGTGTATGCTTTACCGAAAATACATAAATCGAATTGCCCTTTCAGACTAATAGTGGCATCTATAGATAGTCCATTATATGCCTTGGCAACTTTCATACATGACGTCATTTCTAAGAATGTACCTAAATCGGTTTACAATATTGACAATAGTTTTCAATTAGTGAAAAGACTGAAGGGGGCACGCGTTTTGAAATTGAACATGTTTTAGTTTCATTAGATGTAGTGTCCTTGTTTACCAATATTCCTATTGAATTGGCTATTGAGAGTATTGATAAGAGATGGAATTTTGTAAGAGATAAGGTCAATATCTCGAAAAGTGAGTTTATGTTGAATGTCCGGTTGGTACTCAATTCAACTTATTTTAGTTTTGATGGTCAATTTTATAAACAAAATTTTGGAACCCCTATGGGGTCGCCTCTCTCTCCAATATTAGCCGATTTAGTAATGAGGGATTTGGAAGCAAGGGCATTGGAGACCTTGGGTTTTCAACCTTTGTTTTATTTTCGATACATGGATGATATCGTTATAGCAGTTCCAAAAAATTTAGTTGACTTTACACTTGAGACTTTCAATTCGTTACGACAGATTAAAATTTATCTTAGAGTTTGGTGATGACAAATTAAATTTTTTGGATATTACTATTATTAATAATAACAATTTAATTGAATTTGATTGGTATCATAAGCCTACGTATTCGGGAAGAGATACCTCAATTTTTTATCGGCACACCTACTCTAACAAAAAAGAGGCATAATAATAGGTATGACAGATAGAGCGTTTTTATTATCGGATCTGAAGTATCACCAGAAAAATTTGGAACATATTGTTAGTACATTATTACGAAATGATTATCCGATTGACTTAATTTTCAATACTATTAATGCACGTTTAAAAATTCTCTTTCATAAAGGTACGATACACAACAGAAAGAATCAAGTGACGAAATCAAGAGCGATTGTACTTCGTGGTTTGTATTACCTTATGTTCCGAAAATTTCAGACGAGTCTAAAAGAATTCGTAAAACCTTTAATACTAAATTAGCTTTTACTAACTTAAATAAATTAAATAGTTTAATCAAGGGACATAAAGAGAACTCTCCCAAGAGAAAAAAGAAAAAATGTGATTTACAAAATTTCATGTAAATCTTGCGATGCCTCTTACGTCGGACAGACGAAAAGAAAACTAAAAACAAGATTGGCTGAGCACCGCAAGCATATTAACCGGAATAGTAACAACCAATCAGTGATCACAGAACATCGTATTGAATTTGATCATGACTTCGATTGGGAGAATATCGCGATTTTAGATGAAGAGCGTTCTCTGAATAAACGGTTAATATCGGAATGCCTTCATATATTAATGCAACAAAATAGTCTGAATTTACGCTCAGATACAGAAGGTGTACATCACAATTATATACAATTAATAAAAGACATCAAATAGTTTTATATTTTCGGTTATATAAAATGTTTGTATTGACATTATCTTTCTCTTTTTATTTTCGTGATTCTTTTTATTTTCGTGTTTTGACCTGACATGTCTTTCCGATTATATTAAGTGTACGTTCCTATATTAAGTCATGATCCGTTCGAGCTGCGATCAACATGCGTTTATTAACTTGATAATTTTTAGTGAATATTAATGGTAATTAGTTGATCCAATGTTGAGACAAATCCTTTCTATGTCTTGGGGTGAGTCACCAGTTTTATTGTTAATTTGAAACTTGTTCAATAGAAATATTTATAAGATAATTTTAATGCTTTGAATAGATTAGAACATCAAATCTGCTAATCTGATGATGATTTTTCCTTGACATGAAGGGATTGATATTTTAAATTTGTTTGGCTGAAGATGGTTCCAAAGTGAACTGAAACGTACTAATTTTGGAATAAAGATTCTATTTTTGGATTGAAGAATTAAGATTGCGCGTATTAATTACCACGCTGACTCTCATTCGCCTTGGTGTTGGAGCTTTTTGTTGTTGAATTTGGGAGAGTCCGTAAGAAGATTACATTATTATCCCTGATAATGTTTCTCAATTATCGTCAGATCCTGAAAATATTCGCCTTGCTTATAATTTATCGCACCGAGAGTATTAAAAAAAAATGATATATCTTAAAATGATATACTGCATTTTAAACATTTGACCTGATGGAATTTCTGGTGGCAGATTCGAACTCAAATATGTCAAATACCTCTAAAATACGTTAAAAAATTATTTTTTATTCTTACTAAAAATTATTAAAAATGTTTAAACGAGTATTACGAGTAATTGATTTTAATCAAGATATTCTTGTACTGTCGCCGATGCGAGAGCCTGACTTACGTATAAAAAAGTGATATATCCGATACTATTGCGCTTTGTTTCTACGCGATTCTATGCGATTCACGTAATTTCCGGTGTAAATGTCGCGAGAAACGTAACGGATCGCGAGTCATCCCTCTCTTTCTATCTTTTTTCTTCATTCCTTTTTTGTTTTGTTACTAGAGAATAACGATACGGATGAATAGCTGTGGAAGAATGGCGACGCGAAGATACTGACCTTGCAGCCTTCGCACGTGAAGGCCCCAAAGTGAAAACCCGCGGCTGGCTCTCCGCAAACCCTGCAGAGCTGATTCATCTGCAACAAAAAGATGCGACATGTGGTTACGCTCGGGATCTGAGGACGTTCAGAATATGCCCGACGATCGTGTGCCTGATCCCCGCACAATATCTGCCAATCACGGAAGGGTTTCTCGATCTAATGCATGCTCTCGAAACGCAAGATCAGAACAACGAAGAGTACTGTGATAGGATATACGATCGGAGCCTCCTGTTTCGATACAAAGCGCTATTATGACATTATGATCGAAAAGAAACAAGACAGTTTAATAAATATAATAAATATGTATATCTTCTTTATAACTCGACTTGTATCAAATAATATAAAAACCTATTAAAATATATTTTTTCCAGTATATTTCCAATGTATATATTTTCTCTTAATATATATAAATGTAATAAATTATTTTCGGAAGGAATATTTTTATCAATTTATCTATATGTGTAAAATATCAATTAATTATTATCTTCTTCAGTACCCATTAAAGTTTCAAAATTTAATCAAAATCTCATGAATAAGTATTTATATTTCCATCCGTTATATTGTAAATGTAATATTGTAACATTTAAAATGCTCGTAAAGTATCGTCTATCCAATTTACATATTTATAAAAAGAATCGCAGGAACCTATATATGATAGTATCTTGGATCAATTCCACTAGCATAAAATTGAGATTAGCAAATTTTATCATATGTTATTTCTTTGCTATACTCATTTTTAAACATAATAATTCTCTTCTATTTTGCATTATTTTACATTAAAAATAAAAAATAAAAAAAAATTTATTTCTGTAGCTTCTGCCACAATCGAGTGCAGTCTAACAATAAGGAATGAAGGAAATTTATGAAGGAATTCTCATCTTTAAATTCGATCTCGCGTCAATATCCTGAACTACGTACAATCTGTTGTCGAATAATGCGATCGCGACCGATCCGCGCATTGTAGTCGGTAATCAACGTGAGCGTGCATCTGTTCCGCTGTGGAAGATCCTCGACGGTGATGTCGCGCAGGAAAGAAGAACTCTTTCTTGCTTCGTACGCATGAGAATCGGCGAGGAGCGCGCGAACGAGGGGTCTATTTTCTCGCTGCGAGAAATCTTCTTCCTATTAAAACCTAGTTAGCCAGTCATTACTAGCTCCTCACGGGAGCTTGGACGTGCGGTTCGTCGCGAGAAAGGCACGGGGAGAAGAAGAAAACACGCGGATTGTGCGCGGGCAAAAGAACGGAGGATGCGACTCGCACAGATCTGATTCCCACACGAAAAGAGTGCGCTACAGTAACGGCCGCCATTCTGCTCGTCGTAACGCGACGAGAAATTGATCGCTCGCGTTACGAGCGGTAATTGTCAGGGATGATCAAAACGCGCTCGTGTGAGATTCGCACTCGCTGGAACTCTTCTTCGCCCGTCGCGGGCGTCACACGGCCAGATGGGACGATGCGCTCACGGTCATTTATGACTTTCGCAAGTAAATTTTATGATTCATTAATATTTTGGTTTATTGTGCGACTTGCATGAATGGTCAATATTTGTATATAACGGTTTGCTTTGAACTTTGTTTCGAATATATATTTATATAACGCGAAAAAACGGCGATTCGCAAATTCGCAAGGTAATATACATTGGATCAATCGGATTTAGGCATCGCCACGTTTGTTACCGCCCCTCACACAGAATCGATTTGATTACAAAACGGTTACGCGAGCGAGCATTTCTGGTGCACAGAAAGAACGATTTTGTTGAAGTATCTAAAAATTTAGCTAAATACAGATCTGAAAATAAATTTTATTAGACTATTAAGATAATTATATAGAAGTTGATTGCTAGAATATTAAAGTTGATTGCTAGAATATTAAAATTTTTGCAATATATTGATCATCATGCTTGAGTTTTCTACACAAATATTTTAATGACCTAATTTTAGCTAAATTTTTAGATATTTCAGCAAAATCGTTCTTTCGATGTGTGGTTTTACGCGATCTAAATCGTGAGAAAAGGTATTTCGATTTAATGACGCTAATGTACGCATTAACTGTAATATTTACGTCAATAAGCACGCATGCTACGTGCAGATATATCTAGCGAAAATGGCAAACCTCTTTTTTCGCGCGTTTCGCATGCGGATGATAGAGATTCTTTAATTATTCTAATAAGAATCTACAAAAAATGATTTTACTGAACTATCTAAAAAATTAGATGCAGATCTGAAGATAATTTTATTGAACCATTAAAATAATTACATAGGAATGGGCATCAAACATGATAGGCAATACTACAAAAAGTTTTGATAGTCTAGCAAACAATTTGGGCGTTCTACATAATTTGATAGTCTAACAAAATTTTCAGATTTGTATCTAATTAAATTTCTAGATAGGTACTTTAGTAAAACCGTTCTTTCCGTACAGATATGAGATAATCAGTTTTGATTGGTCTGCCATGTTTTGTTCGGAAAGAAAGAAACAGATAAGAAAAAAGTATAGAAAAGAAAGAAGTAATGAATGTATATCCTTCTCTGTCGCGTGATTTTGACAAAATACGAAAGCTAGAACTTGTAGAAATTCTTATTAGAGGGTTTCTAATGCGGGGTAAAGATTAACCTACGGCCTCTTCAAATATTCCCCAAATGATGGGATTGGACGGGATTTCTGCCGATGATCACGAATGCTGAAACGCAGGTTAGCGGAGGCAGGTATTCGAAAACAACTTTCGATCTCATTAACCTGGGAACGTATGCGCGGTACGGACTGATGACTTCTCGCGGAAATGACGACGAGAAGTAGCGACGTGCAGGCCGAGGTAGGAGGCAAAAAAGGTTAAACGTCCAACAGATGACGCGGCTATGTCACCTCGGTTCTAATCCCCGCGGCCACAAACCACCACACATCGACGGGACTAAATAACGCGCTGTTCTCTCCCTTTGGTCTGTGCCGCTTTTTCTCGTATTTTGCGAATAATCTACATTGCTACAAAATGGTCTGCATCCGTCTGAATCCTTTCCGTCGCCCACCCACGTCCCACGCGAGAATCATCTCATCAAGTGCCGCCACGAGGGACATTGAATGAAGAGGCGAACGTGCCGATATAATGTTAGCCTTTTTACATCGAGAGCGACACGGTTCTCTTCTCTTTCGAGGTTCCCATCGTTCCCTCGATTCCGTTATGCTGAGCTTCGGTTAACGATTTAGAATAATCTAGCCCGTGTAAATACTAATCAACCGCTAAGCGAGCGACGATGACAAGCGTAAACTCGCACGATTCCTACGCGTTTCCAATCCGAGTTCGCAAAAGACACTAATTTAATTGAATCGCGTATACTAATGCGCAGAAATACCATATTTGAATAGTAAGAAAGACCATAATTTATAATAAGTGCCACGTGACGAATCTCTCTCGTCCGATTAATTTTATAGCATTAATGCAAATATTTACAAATATTAATTACAAATATCCAAATTTTTTCGACATTCTCCTATTATAACTAAATACATTAGCTAATATAAAAAATTCTATTAAACAAGTGTTCGTGTTAATTAATGTTAATTAATAACCCTCCGGAGCTGACTCTAAAATTTGTAATATAGTTACTGATGCTGAATCTGTAAAACCGATATAATTTATGTTGATTAAAAGACATCAATTAATTTTAAGGAATCAAAATGATATAATTCATATAAAAAATAGAATGAATAGTAAATATATTTTAATAAGAATGATCCAAATATAATACGAGATGTAACATAAAAAAATTAAATTGTTTGATATTTTTGACACTTTATAATTGAATGAGCCAATAGATCTACCGTCAACTCTGGAGAATTAAGTAATCGTATGAAAAAATGTACAGACATAGCTAACTATCCTTCTTTGAAATAAATATTGCATTCATATATTATATATATATATATATATATATGTATAGAACACGGAATATGTATAGATTTATATGATAAAATACATCTTCGTTTCATTTTTTTTTTTTTGTAAAAGACAAACTTCTGCGCAAACTGGTAATCAAAAGAAAAAAAGGAGACTTACCACGTCGGTGTTGGCCGCTGCCGATGTGATCGTCGACGTAGGCGTCCACCACCCTGGAGTGGCGGATGTCGCGTTGGCAATAATACCAACACCCGTCGCAACCGAGATGGATCCGCTCCCTACCAATCCTGCCGGACCTGACAGATCGCCCACATCCATTCGACACGTTTTAATCCCTCGGTATCAGCCGTTCTGGCCTGTGACCCGACCTGCCCTCTTTCCGTTTGACGTAACGAGCCACCATTTTGCGCGCTTCTCGCGTTTCGCCGTGCTGAAACGTTCACGCGACGTGTGACATCCGGCCTGATAAAAGAGAAAAAAGACAAACAAATAATTCGCTGAAGAATAATCTCGCGATAACGTCCAGTATCGCTTGATAACGATGACATTAATAATTACTCCGGCCACACACATAAGTTTCGATCAAGTTTTGAATACTTTTTCTATTGCCTTCACATACCATGCATGTTCAAAATCGTAATATCTTATTCAGATTCGGCGATTTATTCGCTATATAATACACTATACGAGAAAAAATAATTTGCGTCCGGCAAGAATGTCGCCTCCCAGCAACAGAATACTCGAATGTACGTTAACGAATATCTCCCACTATCAAAGCGGTATTTTTATGGCGAACAAACGCACGAGGCGGCGTATATCAGCGCGATGTATAATAATTATTCCAGAATACGAGCGGCGGGTCGCAGAAACGAGAGAGGGCAGTCCGCCGAAATCGCGATCGGCGGACGTCCTTCCCGAGACCCCCGGGTTCGTATCGCTCGAGATAACATGTCGTGTTTACAACGGTGTAACGCCATTACCAATGTTAACGTAGACCGCCCTGCGAGGGACGCATAAATACAAGAGCTAATTACAGAGCCTACCACGTATTAATTTTCGACCTGCACACCACGCGGAAACTTTAAGCGGCGTGTATGAATCGTGCTTCTAATTAACAATGTTTAATTTCGATCCGACGATAAGAAACTCGTATCGTACAATTCGGGATGGTATGGTAAATGTCGTAAATACATCGTGGCAGGTAATATATTCGTCTATTACGTACAATAATTCGGAAAGTAAATGCGGTTTCTTGAGGAACGAGCGCAACGCGCTCGAGGGAATAACAATCGGTAGTCTGGAGAATTAATCCAGTTCCAAGACGTAATTTGAAAGTAAATGTTAATTGAGGATACCGAGATTTCCCTGGTCGATCACAAAGCTACGATTAAGATTAAGAACGCGGTAATTGGCGTCGTTGCGTTGAGTTAATCTATACGATCACTGAGTAATATTGGCATATACTTGCAACACGATCGTGTTACATATGCGGGAATCTATAGCAGTAAAGATTATACACTAGATTTTCTAGTATTCATGGATTATAATTGAAGCACGTTAATAAATTGCGTTAAGCGCTACGAATTTATAGTGCTACAACTTTAAAGTTTAAATTGTAACGTTATAGGTTGCACAATTTCGATGATATATACCAAAGTTAATTGGTATATTTAATCCAGAACACTAATGGATATTAACGAATAATCCACAACTAAAACTTTATTTAGTAAACAATATATTAAATCTTATAGGACTTTATTTAATAAAACCCTTTAACTATCAATTTATAATAATTCGAAATTATTTAAAGTATAGATCTTAGTATGACTGACAATATAGATTCTTTTTTATTTTACTTTTAATTTATAGTAAAAATTATAGCTTTTAGATAATCCATAGCTATGCACAGAAAGATCGGTTTTGTTGAAGTATAAAAATTTAGCTTATGGACACAGATCTGAAAATAATGTTGGACCATCAAAATAATAATGGGACGCTCAAACTGGTTGCTAAAATGTCAAAATTTTCTCCGTATGCTTATCGCGCTTGAAATTCCTACTTAATTATTTTGGCACCCCATAAAATTATATTTTCAGATTTGTATCTACCTAAATGTTTAGATGTACGTATCTTGATACTTCAGCAAAATCGTTCATTACGTGTACATACAGTTATTGGTTCTGAGGTATTTGGAGATATATCCACAAGAATAGCTTGTTTTCAAGATGTATATAATATTCGGTAAACGAGGCATTGCTGTTTACATATCTTATCAGAGAAAGAGAGAGAGGGAGAGGGAGAGAGAAAGTACAGTGCATAACATTACACTCATATGATCTCTGAAAATAATTACCGTAAAAATGTATACTTCAATTATGCCTAATTTCTTCTCTTCTAGATAAATTGCGGATAATCTTATCCAGGAGATATTTCCATTATAATCTGGGAGATATCTCTTGGATAAAGTATCTGGATATCTAGAGATGAAGAAATTGGACATTAGAGACACAATGGACTATATATATCTGACAATGAGTGTCGTCTCCAGGAAGGTTCTCCCAGGTCTCTCATTATACCTTAATTTAACAAATCATTGCAATACGACTAAACGACCGCTTTCGTGAGCAATCTGGCGAGCGCGTTGCTCCCGCACGTATATATTATTAAAATTGCCGTAATCGGTCGCCTCCACGACAAAGAGTACCGCGGTCGCACGGCGCTGCGGCCATCGATAAATTTTATTGCGCGCCTCTCATCTTTCCACGCTGACTAATGACAAATTAATTAACAACCGTACATGCCCGCGAAAGACCGGTTCCATTGAATACGTCGTCACCTTGCTGCTCTCCGACTCTGATAAATCCTTGTTTTCACGGATTAACGTTGCGCCGCGCGGCGAGCCGGCGGTAGCGCAATTGTAACGCGACGATAAACACGATCGTTCGCGAGAATGAATACGGCGACGATGACAGCGATGACGGTGGCGATCGGCCATTGATGCCATCAGGGTTTTTCCTATTTGCGTTTTTGAGCCGCGTCCACGAGCGTGTATTTCATTAGCCGGCGCCGAAGGACGCCGTTCTCGCGTTTCGCGCTTGGGACTATTACCGGCGCGCCGTCATCGCCGATATGTTTCAGCTGTCATCGTGCGAGTCCACGTCTCCGGTATTTACGCGTATCGCGACACCATCCGCGGTCCTTGAAGAATCGGGAGAAGGAGAATCGTTTCTCTTCGTGTGCGAAATGATCATGAGCATGGCGTCTACTGCTCGTTCGCTAATAAATGGGTTACGTGAACGATCGATGCGGATAGTTTTATTAATTGCGAGAGCTACGCCGACCGATTGTGAGTTTAATCTGTGAAATAATTAGGGTATTAAAGCGTAATTAACGGTGCGTCAGCGAGAGATAATGATGCTGCGCGCACTGAAATGTTAAATCGTCGTGATCTCCTCGCCGCAACAGCGCGATCGATCGACGAGGTTTGACATTTGACGTACGGAACAATGTTCTGCTTCGCGTCGCATTAAAGACGCGTTCCGTCGCGGGTTAAAGTACGCCCGATTGAAACCGAAGCTGGTATTCATAGCTGGTTTTGTATAATATTTAAGACCGTTTTAAGATGTTATGAACCAATCAGATAGTTATATCAGCGTCTTAAGATATTATTTAAGACGACATTAAAATAAAGAATCGACTATAAATATCGCTTCGGAAGTCAAATTAATTTTTTTATCGGCATCCAATACGATTTATAAGAGCATTCGAATATTTTCCGCACTCCCTAATATCTCGCTATGGATTGCCTGCAGCATCCAATATATTATTCTGTGAAAGTGTTCATGCGGCGACCTATTGGAACATCAATGAAAGCACATAAATTTATTTCGCGCGATAACACAAATTTCTGGCAATTCCCCAAGATATTATCATCGATTCGTCGTTTCTCCCATTGATACCTCTCGCTTTATGAAAGCCTGCACCACCACTCCTATCTCACTATTAATAATTCGATTGTCCGGCAATATTTTTTCTCCACCTGACAGAGACGCACGGTAATCGCAATCGGCTTGCCTTTCGTCTTCGCAATAATAATGATTGAAAGTTGAAACACATTCGCGCGTTAAAGGCATCATATATACGCGCCGTTTCTCATCTCGTTTCTTTTCTCTTTTTTTTTTACTGTTTTTCTTCTTTTCGCCGGGCGAACATCTCGATCGCCGCCAAGCTGTGGCAGCCAATGAGTGACGAGCGAACTGCTGCTTTAATGAACCGGTTGTGAGCGATACGTCACACGGATATCACAGTACTAGCTGTAGACATTTGAAATTGTTGCACTCCCTCTTTTTTCTCTAAGTCGTGACAAGTTAATCATAATTCCCGTAAGACCTGAATCCAGTTTTCGTGTAGCAGCATTGATTATTAACTTGCCGAACTCGTGATGACGCGTATTATTAAATAATCGCGAACTGAAATCGATCCATAGATTGCCATACGCGAACTTATGTCTAAGTACAACATGCATTATAATATCATAGATATATGTATAAATCTTTAAACCCTTGATTAGGAATCTTTTACACAGATTATCACTTAAAAGCTTTGGGACTTGGTTGCCGAAAGCAACATATTTTTATCAAATATAGTCCTCTTTACTCATTTGTGTTGAACTTATTTTTAATTTAGTTTTTTTAATTTCTAAGAGAGATTTGAGATTAAGATTTTGTCATTACTGACACACAGATAGAATTCCATTTCAACGTAAGGGATTAATTAAGCCTTGAACTAATAGGCGTAAATGGAATAATAGAAAATTGCATTCGTACCAAAGAGAGATGTTACGATATTTATCGAGACGATAAAATAAATGATCGCGCTATCGCCACATCTGACATTGTGTCAAAATTTTCCACAAGAATGTAACATCACGATTATTAATTGTTCCTCAGTACATATGAGAAAAATGGGAAACATAGTGTTCTTGATGTGTTAGAAAATCATATTCTACACTCAAAGAAAAGTATAGTATATACGATAATAAAGATAACAACTACACAAGTTTAAGTAGAATTAGTATACATAGTTGAATAAATTAATGTACATAATTAAATAAACTATTTATTAAGTATAATAATTATAAAATGATTTATTCTACATATAAAACTTGTGTAGCTGTCACTTTTATAATCTGCTACTACTATGTCTTTTTTTCTGAGTATAAATATTCCAGCAAAAATAAACTTTAACCTCGCACGACATCTAAAATCTTCTCGTGCGATTATGTCAAATGTCACTGGAAACGTGATTGTATCGAGTATTCAAATAAAATAAATCTAATTAATGTATTCACTATAAGTGATAAGTCATATCGAACATATTTATTTTTAACATTTAAAACATGCAGAGACAATACCGTTTAAGAATGTTGAAGAATACATAGAATAATAAAAGATATAAGGATAAAGCCGATTATAGGCGGATCTACAAAAAGTATTCTAAGCTTCTCCAAAAAAATCGATAATTGATAAATTTCTTATAAAAATATTTCTTATAAAATTATAAGATTTTTCCTTTTTCATTAAATAATATAATTATAGTATAACAAATATGTGAGAAATTGACATTTTTTTTTACATAAGAAAGAAATTGTACTTTTAGCCCCCCTTTTATGAATTCTCATCCATTCTTTTCAGAAAGCAAGACGGAGGAATCCAAGCTAGATCCGCCTACAATTCCGACACTGCACTGCAATGACAACTTTAGAATTGTATCGATATACATACCTATGTAATGTCCTTCACTAAATGTTCCCGTTTATTCCTCTTCCTCTCGATACACTTTCGTATCAAACCCCCAATTTTTCGCACCGTCGCGTCGCTTCTATGAACACATATCAGTCCGCTGTGACAGCACGCGTCATCGCCACCCGCTTTTACTCAACACAGAAAGCACACATCGACGCACGTTCTTCATCCACGCACTGTATGTTGTCAAACAGTACGCGATCGTCCTCGTTGTGATAACGTCGGGATTACACCAAACCGATATTTATATGATTCACATTCGTGTCGAAAATATCTTCCGGCAGGGGAAAAACGCGATCCATCGAATCGGAAAGAATCACAACGGGATATCGCCCTCTGCGCGGATCACAGCTGACAATGAGTGTCCCTTCAATATCTCAGGAGAAAACACTGCGCGCGTGTTGCTCCTTTCGGAGCATGCTGATGATACTGAAGAATCACACCAATCGCTCGGAACTACGTCGCGCGACTTTTTGACGATTTTCCCGTTCGGCAAAACAAAAAGAGACGGACGGAGGCCAAATAAACGGACAAATGGACGGGAGGAAGCGCGGATTGATAGATCGAATTGCGAGAACACGAAGAAGAAGAGGACGATGTCGTAGCTGGCTGGCTGGCTGGCTGGACCGCCGGCCGGCTCGGGGCGTGCGCTCGTGTAGCACGTGGCCGCGAGACTGAGTATCCCTACCTTAGGCACCTTCTTCAATCCGTTTGTCCGCCTTGTCCTTATCTCACCTAGCCAGCCGAGAAAGACTACCGCAGCCTCCTCGCGAGTATATGCTCCACCATCTTTCTCGCTCCTCACCGGCCGATCTCACTCGCGCCTCCGTCCTTCCCACTGTCACGCTCTCGCTCCTTCTATCTATCTATCTCTTCTGATCTTCCCCCATCTCGTTCTCCTTCTCCCTCTCGATCCGCCTTGCCGCAGCATCCGTCTCCGCGCCGCACCGCACCACGTTGGAGGTAACACACAGTCCAGCTGCTTCCCTCTCGCTCGTTCGCGCGCTCGTTCCTCTCCGTCATTCCAGCTGTTCGTTTCGTACTTTGTCCCTCGCCGTCTATCCGCCTTGCATTCATCTCTCTTCCCCGCCATCCAGTTACAACCTGCTTCTCTCGCGAGCAGCCGCGATTCTCCCGCGACCGAAGAGACGACACACGTATGCGCGCTCCCTCTCTCCTGCTCCCATACAACAGCCCTCCTTCTCATCCAGCGGTATTTTATGCAGATCCGCAGCACGGAATTCCATTCCGTTCTACAATACCGCGATTCTTTCGAAAAATCACGAGATCGTCCATGGATTTGAATTTGCATTCGCGGAAAACATGAAGACATTGTTTCTTTTTCTCGTCCATTATTGCGAATGAGAAAAAAAAGAAGAGTCAATTAAATATAATGATAAATAGAAAATTAGAATATTCCCTATTATGTTACATCGCTTTGATAACGTAATCTCAAGACAGTCGAATAATTAATACCAGTCATCGAAAATGAAGTAAATCGACAAGAATTTGTAATATTTACATCTTAATATTATAATATTTCCAAATTAATATATTCTCCGAGGAGAGTGTACTTGTGAGTTGAAAGGCAATTTTCATTAATAATTTGAGATATTTGCTAAAATTCTATTAATCTCTTGTAATAGTCGTAATATAATAAGTAGATATATGAGGAAAAAGATTATAATCATGATTCACGATGTATATAATCTTTCAAACATATATAACACATAATATATATAATCTTTCTTCGAAATAATAGTAATAAATTTTTAGATAACACAAACAAAGTTTTGCTTTAATACAAAGAGGCTCCCTTTGTATTAATAACATTAAAAAAATGTAATTAAATTTTAATTTCAGCATATATTATACTCATCCAATTCTTTGTCCATTAGTCTTAAATTTTCTTAAATTGAATCACAGTGATTCTAAAATTATACTTATCATGATACAAAATTAACTTTACTGGTTCAAATTCATCCCATCTTTTTTTAATATTTGAAAATTTTCATGATCTTAATCTTGTCACTGATTGAATCTATTAATATTACAAACTGGAGAAAATTTTTTTTTTATATTTTGTATATTGTGTCAGTAAAATAATCGAACAAAGCGTAGTCTTTCGGGAATCAAATCACCGATGAATTAGATTCAAGAATTGTATTGACGCGGTAAAACGCATCAATGCATTTTCTATATATGGCGCGATGCAATGTTTAATAATGATTTATATAACTATAGCAGTCAGCCATTTCGTAAACGTAATCGAGAATAGCACTACCACATCGTAATATCGAAGTGCTTTATTGCCTACGTTTTTTTTTTCGCACTATACGAACTGGCTATAATTCAGGTACAACTCTGGATGAACGTAGTGAGATTAAATCACGATCTCACAATACAGCACAACTTGAATCTGTAAATGTTCGCGCTATATGATCACAAGAATTATGAGATTTATTGTTCTAACAAGTTCAATATTCTTTTGATTCTATTTTGAAAATTAAGCAAATGAAGCTTCTTAAAAATATGAATGTAATTACCTGTTGTAGTTCGAAGCAATGCCAAATCTATTACGAACACTGTTAAATCTGTAATATCAAATTTATCTATTGTTTTAGTATAAAATAACGATATATTGAGTAGGAGCAGTGACGACTTAAATTAGATTAAATTTAGCACTATAGATTTAACAGTGAATAATTATATATGATTTTTTTTCCGATGCAACGGCAGATTTTGAGATGCATTAAGTTAGCTTACTAACAAAATTATTGCATGAAATAATAAAATATTTAATCTTCATATTAATTAATATAATTGTTTATTAATCGTACCTGAACTGGAAGGAAATGAATATTTAATAATGAATTCGCCTGCATTATTTAAAAAAATCATAACGTAAATATTTGGACCGATAAAATGTATTTATTAGGTATTCCGCTAAAAATATATTGTATATAACATTTAATTAGGATTTTTTACATATCACATATTTATATTTATATTATATTATTATTAAAGAATTCGAAATCTGGATTCACTACGAGTTGAAATAAAAATGAGTGCAAGATGCGCTCTTCCTCTGGTGATTTTAATGCTTGATTGTGTCAGTGATTTCAATATGCACGTATAAGGTGAATCGCTCACTTACGGAAACATCTTTTGCTGTCTTCTAGGAATGAACACGGTTTTTTTCAAATCATAGAAACTGGATTGGCGCACTTATATCCAATAAATATTAAATATATTCGGTATTTTTCTGACTGGTCAATTCTCCAAATATTTGATTAAATAATCGGAAGGGTATTGACTTTAATAATAATTACTGTTTGAAAAAACTATTATAACTTTTCATAATAATAGCTTGTTATTCATTTTCTATTTGTTAGTTAAGTTTTGCCTCACTATTCTATTCAAAGCATGTTCGATTTCATATCGATCGTGAAATTCGTACATAATGATCGCCTGAATCGATATGACTCATCGATCTGCGAAAGAAACCAACAGAAAAGTTATTCGCGAGATACGCAAACATCCGTTCCATTGTCGTGTCAGCCGCATCGCAATTCCCAATCTTCGCAACGCAATCGATTTCCTTGTTCATCCCGCCTTAAGACGAAACAAATCACACGCCGTTTTCTATCGCCGTCGTTGTACGGAATAATGTCGGAGAGGACTCCGTTGCAGAGTAGGAGGTACCCGATCAGCGACCAATAGTAAGAGCCGCCACCCACGAAGTAATAAAAATTAATTTATCACACGGATCGCCGCCTACGCCATTGCTCCGTTCACGTATACGAGACTCTGCAGCATCCCGCAGATAGCGCCACTTGTCGGGTTACCCTTTCATCTACTCTGTCTCCTCTTCTCATAGACTTTAAATTAAACAATTGACATTATTACGCACAAATTTGCGTTAGAAAGGTATTTGATCTCGAACAAAAATTTATTTAATTTATTATATAAAAATATTATTTATAATAGCTGAAATAATAATTGATAATAATATTTTTAATACCTCTAATTATTAATTTTAAAAAATTAAAGAATACATATTATAATCACGCATTATGTGTTTCATTTACGTACTTTGTGAATATTGTATATTACTTCAAAAATTCAAGATTAAGAATTAAATAAAATTAAAAAATGTATAGCCATTATTCTAACCTTTTGCAATTTTATATCAAGTTGAATTTAATTTAATGATTTGCAGTAGTTTTGTGTATAGCTTTCTAAACATTCGAATTAGTGTATGATAATCAGCAAGGTATATTTTTAGAATCTTCATAAAAATTGTAATAAAAAATTCTTTATTTTTTATTAAATCTATCGAATATATTAAACGGAGAACAAAACATTTCATGTTCGCTTGATTTTTAAAAGTAATTTGTCGCATAGGATTAATTAAAGCAGAGTGAAAATTACAGTCCTAGATGGCAGCAGGTTCCAGTAAAGACTTTGAATGCATAACGTTTATTTAATAAAATGTATTAATTGTATTTATTAAGTAGATATACAGATATTTATTTATAAAAACATCAATTTTCCTTACATATTTTGTTTAAAGCGACTATATATTTCATTTACTTAAACTTATTAATTTTATTATACTGTTCATAAAAGTATTAAGATACGACTGAAAAAAAAAATAGTTTACGCTGTATTTAATACAGGATGTCGATATGTTACATAATATAGTACAACATAACCCGTAAACTATTGATATTTTGGTATATCCATTTTATTACTTTTATTTATGGAGTAATTGAAGAAACCATATTATGTAATAAATATATATTATTCCAAAAAATGAACGTCACCTTGGTATGCTTGAAAGCTCGTCCACCTAGAGAAGATCTGTAATATTAAGAAAATTTGCCTTCCTTGAAACAAAGTAAGTTTCATTTAAAATATATTTTAGAATATCAAATAGTCTGGGAGACAATTGCGCTCGAAGCTTACAACGAGACGTCCTATACATGGAGTGAATTTTTTCTTAGAGTTTACTTTGAAAATATCATAGTCAGTAAAATGTTGTGGGACAACATTATATTTCCAAGAATTTTAATGTAAATCTCTCTCATCCATTATTAAAACTACAATGAAGTATAAAATAAGTTTGATTAATTTTACCGAAGTGCATGGTAAAAATCTTTAAAATATTGTATTGTACCGTAACTATCATATTTTCTGGATAAATTTCAAAACAAAATTCTCTCCGTATATATATTGTAGAATTGCAAAATATACCTTGATGATACTAACGAATAATACTTATGTTATTTAAAATAATTATTGTCGATTTTTTTCCAAATCAGATATTTACATTATTTGGATATATCAAGCTGTTTTTAATATTCCAGTGTTAAAATATTTATCTCTCTCTCCAGATTAAGTTTTGACAAATATTCTAATCTGTACGTAATATTCATTTTATTTAATATTAGTTATATAAATTTTTAGATAATTTTATAACATATTAAAATTGATTGTAATATAATTATTATAAAATAAATGTAATTGAAACATGCTTCGGATATCGTATTCGTTCAAAAGTTGATACGTACAAATAGATTGTAATATGATTAATGAAAAAAGAACACATTTTAATTAAGGAAATATATTTTCAAAAAACGTCTTATTTATTTAATCCATGATTAATTAGAGATATGCGCCACTTATTATAACATACGGTTCACGTTTAGTCTTTCTTTTTTTTTTATTAACTTGTCTTTTAATATTAAATCTTGTTTTTAATAACAAGAAATTTTTTTAGCGTAACAATATTGTATGCTGATTATTAGATGTCTTAATATTCGAGTTGTCTTTACATATGCAATGCGCAATTATTCGCGATCATTCTTATCTTCTAGATCAGTTTATGAGCCCAGTTTACAAGTAACAGTATTAAATATACATTCTTATTTTTTATTTAGAATGAAAAACGATAAAATTATATGTAAATCTTCTAACTTTAATACAGTAAGTTAAGATAAAATTCATAAGTTATTAAAATTTATTAAATATGCCAAATAGTAATGTAATAAAATGCTTTATATTTTCATGACTTTTCAATTTGCTTTTTAATATATCATTAAAATGCTCTTATTATGAAATATTTTATGTAATGGAATTGTGAACTTTAAAAATACAATTCCGAAATAAACACAATACGATTGGAATAACGTTTAATCAG